TCCTGSAAAGGCTGAGCAACAGGGCTCGTGTTCGGGGAGATGTCTGGTATTTTGACTTTAGCAAGGACTCTGGCAACGTGTCACATGGGCACACGCATAAAGAAAACATGGAAACACATGTTCAGAAGATGCTACTAGAGGTCAGATGAAAAAACAGCTACAGAGCTATATTCACTGCGTTGTTTTCAGCTATTCATCGTCAAAATGGATAAATGCATGAATGGGCCTTCATGGGACATGTGCTGCCTTTTTTTTTTTTTTTTTTTAATGATCAATTTGATAGAGTAAGACTGCAAATTACATTTGTGGCTATGAGTTGCTTGTGGAGCGCAGGATGACAATTCAAAAGCAGCCTGACAAATCAGAGAAACAATCTCAAAGGATGCAGTCCAGTAAGTTTAAAGACAAGGTCCTTTATTTAGTCAGATAAAWCAGATGATGAGAACAACTGACAGCAATTCTTCAAAAAAGACTGAAATATATATGTGTGTGTATACATACACACACCCACATATATGTATATATAATAAGTAGAGTGGTTTATACACTTTAAGAGCTAATGCTGTCCTGCAGTTTGAAAATAATCAGGTATCTCATGTGAGCACAGAACAGCAGCTCCGAAGACCAAGTTTGTTTCTGTCTGTTACTAGAAAGGCCTCAACTGTGATRCTGGGTCCACTTTGAGGAAGACAGACAGAAGAGGAACAATAAAGTCAGAGGTTCAGAAAAAMAAGATTTACAGCAAAAGCCTGAAATGGTGGTTTATTAAGTCTGGGGAAAAAAACAAAAAGAAAAAAAAAAAAGAGAGATTTGCAGTCATGATAGTCTGAATAGGTGGAAGCTCTTACAAAACGTATTTTCTCTATATGAGTAAGAATAAATATGTATGGAGTGATAGCATTCAATTGAAGCAAAAAAAAAAAAAAAAAGAAGTTAAATGCTAGGAAGATAATTCTGATAAGACTTATGAGTCCTAATAGCAGATTTGCCCAAGTTTTTAAAGGAGAGGCTGGACAAACATCAGTCCAGAATGCTTTTGGAGTGGTTAAGTCTTTATGGAGGAAAAAAGAGACTAGATCCAGGTGATCTGCCAATATTCCTCCCAGCCCTTCTTCCTGTTTCTGTCATTACAAAGCAAACACAGTCCCCTCAGGCTAGGAACTGCCCACACGCTGGGGTTGCCACTTCAGGTTCAAAGTGGGAGCAGGGGCTGAAAGGCACGCACACCATTCCCATGCAAATACAGCCGCTGGTCCCTTTTCTCCAGCCCCCATACGTGTCCTCTCCCACCTTGGCCTCTCCRCCACCCACTGCCTCACGCTGGGCAAGGGCAAAAGAGGGCAGGTTTCTGCGAGAACGCTTCTCCAAGCAACCCTGACCACTGCCAAGCYGGACTCAAGAGATGCTTCGCTATTAGACTGGCATCTTTGCATTCGCAAAGGCACAAGCACACATACATAGGCAGGTCACACATGGGCTTCAAGGGGAGGCACCTCCAAGAGCCACTTGCCAAGGAGGGAAAATAAAARCCTTTGACACTATCCTAAGTGACTTTTTATTCTATACACCTTCACAGTAAATTACACTAATTAATATGAACTCAGCGTGGCTCTGGGCTCTTCTACAGCATACAGCTATTTCAGACCCTTGGCTCTGTTCTTAATTATTTCTAGCCTTGGTCAGAAATTGTCCACAGAAACATTTCTGCACTGCAAAATGCCTGTTCCCGAAAGTAAAGCGCTACTACATTATATATTTTCAAAAACAATTAATTTAGGAAGGAAAAAACTCTACATTTGATCAAAGAGCACGGTGAAATATTTTTTGAATTTCAGGTTTTAATTTGAGAAGGAAAAGGGCTTAATGTAAATTTAATCAAGCTGTTGTAAAGAATAAAGACAGTTTCCAGCAGATGTGCCTCATGTAGGAATTTCGTAGCTTTGAGATTTAAAATCATCAAATTTGGTTTAAATTTAACAATGTATTCAAGAGTTATTGAAAAGTAAACAGGGAGACTGCAAAAGAGAGATTCTGTAAGGAATCAGCTTAAAAGTTAAAAACTTTAAAGTTCAAATAACGACTACTGCAATAACATATTTCTTCTGTTAAACCAAAAATGAAAAGAATTTTTCCTCCAGTTGGCCAGAAAATTGTCCTTGATAAAAAAAAATATCAAACAAAACACTTATTTATCAAGTATGCCACTACCCACCTGGCTTGTCAGCTTGAGTTAGGTACCACTATAAAACACAAATACATGCAGCTAGAGATCAAGAGCTCAGTGCTTCCTAAAGTAATGAAACCAGATTATGGAACCTAAATAAAACATAACTGTTGGGGTAGTGGGTGCCCAGTGGGAGAGCGTTTAGAGTAGCTTGGTCGCAGTGCTCTGCTGACTGGTGTCTATCAGAGGCATCAGGTACTATGAAAGAAGGAAAGAAATGCTCCTATTTTAGATTATTTCAGTTGAAACTTATCTAGTATTTTGATTTTTGCACAGTGCCATAGCATACCTCCTGTTATGCAATCATATTTAAGGTGGGAATTAGATGTAATTAATTAAAGAAAAAAATAAACTAAGAAAGATCCCTGAGCATCTAAAATTCCAATTATTACTGTTTATTAAAAGCACATATAAACTTGTACTATATTTGTACTTACAAACCATAACCTTTAATTACAAAGGGATAAAATKATACCAGTTAGATATCTAACATCCCACAAATCGGTTGCAGCAAGAGGACTCAAAACCCCAAAGCATATTGCAGAAACAAGGCTCAAAGATCCAATGAACCTGCTGGTGCCTTCCATTTCTGACCAAATCAGAACTAAGCAGAAACAGCTCTTTTTACTTGACTT